TTTCTTCATCTTTTTCCTTTGTCTTTCTTTTAATTTGCTCTTCCTCTTTTTCTCTAACTGATGTTCTGACGAACAGATGGTTGATTCTCTGATATCCCTCCAGTATCAGTAGTCAGTCACTTCCTGGATACAATCAGTTTCATCTTTTTGGTGACCCTGTTCAATGTTCATAATGTCCAGTGACTTCTAAATTGTCTTTTTGAAAATATTCATGATAGACAGACCTGAGCATTCAAAGTAGGCTCCAAGTGTTGAGCCTTTTTAATCCCTTAATTTAGAACCATATTTTCCATTATCCTTCTCCTACCCAACCCTCTTTCACACTGAAGTCACTGAATGTAAAGGTATGATGACTTGGTTGGGAGCATGCTATTGAGTCCTCTATAGAATGCCTCTACCTCTTTATCCTCTCCAACAGATGTTGGCACACAAAATGTAGCAATCTTCATGGTGTTCTTTTTGCTTAATGTTTCTCACGGGCACTGAAAGGTGAAATGAGCAAGTGCTCCATGGGCAGTAGGTATAGTAGAGTATGGGACCTGTGGTCAAGGAGACTTGGACCCAAATCCTGTCTCATATGCTTTTGAGCTGTGTGACCCTAGGAAAGTCCCTTAACGTCTCTAGGCTTCTGTTTTCTCATCTCTAAAATGAAATAGTTGGAATTTATGACCTTTAAGGTACCTTCCAACTCTACATCTTTGACCCTATATAAAAATATGTTGCCTCTGGGGACAATAGGAAACTAGTTCTATAAGATGCTTTATTTGCCTCGCTAAGAAGACCTATGAGCTATCCTTTCAAGTAGCTAGAACTTCCTTTTGTCTTCTAGTTTCATCTCCAGCCAAAATGTCATTTGAATCATTAACATGGTTCTATTCTTCTAATCAGAATAGAACTGCCAATTTTGGATGTACTACAAGCATTATAAAATGTGTGGTCAAAACAACTTCACAATGTATGGTATAAAAGTAATACAAGAAGCAATGAAGACAAATTAAGTTGAGTAGAACAGAATATTTCTTATAATAGCGGCTCACAGATTGGGATTAGCAATAGTGCCCTCTAACTTGGTAGTTTCCTATTTTAACTAATTGTTCTTGCTAACTTGGTGCTAAGCCCAGTTATTTTTGATACCTTTTGGTACCTTCTAAATTTCAGTCCCTGGGGAGGGAAAATCCCCAACACTCCTGCCCTAGTTATGTTTCTATGTGCAGCAATACATCAACCCACTGTTACCAGAGAAAATTCTCTCACTTAAACAACCAACAGTTAAATGGTCGTCTATGGACATTCTCAAAACTATGTGACTCCTAGATCCTTCTGCTCTCATTTCTGCTACTATTCTACTGTCATTATAAAAATAGAAAGGAGATTCACAAGACTAAGGGCTCTTTTGTATTTTTCTTTGTTTCATAAGTCATCACAGTCAAAACATTAATCACCTCTTGTGATGAGACTTTCTACAACTAGCTAGGCTAAGGACAAAAGATGCAATTTGTCACTGGGACAATCCTCAAAGTTTTTCCAGTTTGGCAGAACCTTCCAGAATATGCAATCCACTAGAGTAGCTTTTGAGATTTTGGGGACTATTTCTATGTCATGATGAGGAACTAAAGGTAGAATTTTCTGGAGGTTTGTAACAATAATACTATTATTTACTATATATTATCAACATTTACCACTACCACTAATATTACTACTGCTGCTAATGCTATTACTACTACAACTAATATCAATACTAATAATAACTAGATATCACTTCACTAAGCAAAAATAAAGGCTAGTAACAGGTATATACCATGGGATTTGTTGAATGTAACTAAAAGTGGCTTACTAGATGGAACCTATGAAATGATTAATACCCAAAAATAGAATCAAAAGTCCTTCCACAGATTACATCTTTATGAACTCAGCCAAAACTACATCAAAAAAGAAGTATTAAAGAAATGGATGAGGCATGTGGATTTGTTTACAGAAATGGAGGGGTTTGTGATGGCAATTCAGCCTCAGGTCATTGCCATCAGTAATTACAGAAAGGTTATCCTTAAGGAGCCCAGACTTTTCATGTTCAATGTAGATTATTCAAGGACATGGCAACAGCATATCATTTTAGGTCATAAAAATTTTAACACCTACTGAATAGCTAGCAAGACATAACCTAGTAGCTAGAATTATACATCAGAAGCTTACTATCTTTCATGTCAATGAATGCCCATACTACAAATACAAACCCCAAGATATCCTGGAGAATGCAACTTATAGACTGTACTGAACAGGAGCATTCATCACAGACCAAACTACAGAGTATCAGAACTGGACTTTAGCTAAAGTGGCTGAGTTGAGACTGGAAGCCAAGGCTCCTTCCTCCCAGACTAATGATGTTTCCATTATACCATGTTGCCTCTCACATCAATTGATTCTTTTATGATGGCCCTCATGGCTAGGCTACTACAATACTCTTCCAACTGTTCTCCCTGCCTCAAGACTTTCCTACTTCCAGTCAATCTTAGAAAATCTTTCAGATTAATTTTCCTAAAATCTTGCTTTCACTGTATCATCTGTCTATACAAAAACCATCAGTGGTTCCCCACTGCCCACAGGATAAAGTCCAAATTCTAAATTTTGCATCCACAGCCCCCCATCTTATTTCTCTTCAAAATATCCTTTAGAAAAAGGGGATAAGGAAGGAGTTTCATTTACTGACAAGGAAATTGAGGCACTGAGAGGTTGGTTTATTTGTTTTTAATGACTTACCCAAAGTCAACCAATTCATTAGCAGTAGAATGATTTTAGAGGTTGTCATGTATCCACAAACCATTTAATTAAACACAAATACCTCAATGACTTTGGTTGCAAGCAAGCTGTTGTGGTTTTCTGTGATGGATATTAAAGGCTATTGGGGGGTGCTAGGTTTTTTTTTCTTATTAAATATGATAATTAAGCCTCAAATGTTTCCAGTACATGTGTATATTTTAAAACTGCAGGCTTCTGATTAATGAAAAAAATTGGAAGACGACTATAAATGAGGCCTTTTTTGTTCAGTGTCCCTCACAGTCACTGAAACAGTCCCTTAATGGATCTGCGAGACTAATAGCCACTTCAGTAACTCCCTGCAATGTGCAGCTTTGGCCAATGAAAGCGCCTGAAATAAACAGTCCAGCATACAACCCCCTCATTAAAGACATGTTTTCCTTTTAAAAAACAATCCATTTGCATCTCTAATTCATTTCAACTCCCCTGTTAAAAACAAAAACAAGTTAGAAAGGGTATTTGTTTTAGTCTGAAAGGGCAGCTTTTACCAGTAATTGGCTACCAGTTACAGTCTTTCCTGCAAGCCACTCAAGTGAAGCATCCTGATACAGTGGAGAGAGCCTGGATTTGGAGCAATAGGCCTGGATCAGAGTCGCTGACTCTAACACTTACAAGTTGTGTGATCCCAGGCAAGTTCCTAAACAGTTCAGAGTCTTATTTTCCTCATCTGTAAAGTAGAGATAATCATACTTCATAGGTTTGTTGTAAGCAAAATGCATTGTAAACAATAAAGTACCTTATAAATGACTTCATTTTGTTGAGAAGTAATATAATCTGGCCCATGTGATGGGCTTACAGTCAAGAGAGACCCAGTTTCAAATTCCAGCTTTGATGACAATTTGCTGTGTGATATTGGGCAAATTACTTAACCTGAATCTCAATTTCCTAACCTGTAAAGTGCTGATAATAATAATAAATACATATATATATATATATATATATATATATACACACACAGACACACATATATACACATATATGTATATACATATACATAAACAAAAGTATTAAAGCAAAAATATGAAAAGTATGTTCAGCCACACTGTGAGTGGCAGTCAGTTTGGCTGGATCAGATGAATTCTTGCAGGGAAGTAGTAAGAAATGAGGTTAACATGGTAAATTAGGGTCAGATTATAGAATCTTGAATGCTAGACCTAGAAGTCTGAAATTGATTCAGGAGGCAACAGCGAATCATTGATGATTTCTGAGCAGTGGAATGACATGATTAAATCAGTACATTAGGAAAACTGAACTGGCCACATGTAATAACAGCTAGCATTTACAGAGCACCTATTTTGTGCCAAGCACTGTGTTAAGCACTTTACAAATATCTCATTTGATCTTCACAATAACCCTAGGAGGTAAGTACTAATATTATAGCCGTTTTTTATATGAGGAAACTGAAAAACTGAAATGAAAAGTTGAGTTTTAATCCTGCCTCTAATACACTAAGACAAACAGATGTTAAGCGACTTGCCCAAGGTAACATAGCTAGTAAATATCTGAAGTCAGATCTTCCTGACTCCAGGTCCAGTACTGTCTGTCTACTATGCTACCTAGCTGTCTATGTCCAGAAGGGAATGGAGAAAGGAAAGAATGAAGACAGGAAGGCCATTTAGAAAGCTACTGCAACAGTTCAGGTATTGAGGGCTAGAACTGAAGTAATAGTAGTGGGAAAAGAAATAAAAAGGCATCAGGAAGAGAACTGGGGGAACTTTAGGCCTGACTGCATTCGGGGATGAAGGAGTCAATTTTCCTAATTAAGTGACTCGACTATCTTCACCTAGTAAATGTCAGAGATGGGATTTAAACCTATGATGTAAGTCTACTGGAGATGGTAGAATCAGCAAAGTTGTCTGTGCAGAAGTCTTGCTGCAAGGAGACCTTTAGCATGTACTACTTAGAGAATGTGGGAGCTAGAAGGGGCCTCAGAGATCACCTAATCCAAGTACTTCATTTTACCCATGGGGAAACTGAGTCCCTGCGAATGATCTGCCCAAAGGTACCCCGCTAGTAGGTGGAAGAATTGGTACTTGAGCCCAGCCAGAACTTGGTGAATTTAAGACCACTCCAAAGTGGCACCTTCTTTCCCAGACGTCTCTCCCAGACCTTTCCCACAGCCCCCTCCTTCTCCCCGCCCCTCCAAAGGATGCTCCTCCCTCTCCCGTGTGGGAGGGGTAGGCTCAGCGAAGCAGCCGATCGATCGCTCGGTCTTCGGCTAGGAGCGTAGCCCAGCGGCTGAGGCCAGCTCTGAGTGATCGATACATTCTCACGTGCTTCATGCCCGGAAAGACGAAGGACGCACCGTAAGGGGCAGGAACCGGGTGAGGATGATACAGTGACGGAGTCGGAGAAAAGCATGTGGGCCACAAACCCACGAGGCTACAGCTGAGAGGGGAAACTAAGAGTCAGGAAACTGTAGGTTGCGACGCGTGCGCGACACCTAAGACCAGCTTTGGGAAGGAGGCCGTGCGAGAGCACGCTGCGCCTGCGCGGTACTGAGGCTGCGTTAGGCGGAGGTCTGTGCACCTGCGCAGTGTTATTTAGGTGGAGCCTAGTACGCCTGCGCCGTGTGGAAGACGCTTGTGGTCGGGGCTAAGAGGCTTGCGCGGCTGTTCAGGTTACCTCTGTATCTCCCTCTGCTGCTTGTGTTGTCCAGTTGATTTCTTTAGTGGGCCTGGGTCTCAGGGGAATCTTGTTTCCTGGGGCCTGAAACCTTTGTGGACGGATACTGCTTCTGCCAGAATCGGGGCGGGGTTTTTCCAGCCCTGCCACGTCGCAGCTGTGTGTCTTTGGGCAAGTTACTTCCCCTCTCTGGGCTAAAATAAGGAGTTCATGGAGAAAGGCCCCTTTCTCATTTTGTGGTCTTAACTTCTTCTTCTTCTTTCCTGCCAGCCCAGTGTCGGGGGCCTGTGAAATAACCAGGTGCCTGTAAATGGGAACTGCGACTACCCTACGCGCCCTGCGGGGTCCAAGAGAATCATGCCATAGAGGCTGCCGAAGTGATTGTTGAAATTTAGAGGGTTGGGGATGGTGAACTTGGAGAAAAGACTTAGAGGAAACTATGACAACAGCAAGCATTTATCGAGTGCTTACTGTGTGCTAGGCACTGTGGTAAGTGCTGGGTATACAAAAAAAGGCCAAAAAAAGGAAAAAAAAGACCTTAAACTCAAAGAGCTCACTGTCAAATAAGTGCAACAACATGCGAACAGCTAGGTATGAGGCAACAAGTCAGATCAACAAACTTGTATTAGTCGATTACTATATGCCAGTTGTGCTAAGCTACAAAATCGGGGGTGGGGCAGGACAGGACGGACATTCCCTGCCCACAAGAAGCTCATAGTCTGGAAGAGACAACATGCAAACAACTAGGTACAAACAAGATAGACTTGAGTTGGAGGTGCTCTTAGAAAGAAGGACACTAAGATGAAGGGGAGTGGAAAAGGTTACTTAAAGAAACTTCAAATTGTTAGACGGTCAGGACAGAATAAAAACGATGTGCTTGTCCAGACCTTCTTCAACCTAAGGAAAAGGTTGCAATAACTTTTAGCTTTCAAAAGGTAGAATGGGCTGCCTTAAGATGTTCCTCTTGTTAGGCAGCTGTAGATAAAGGCTGGCTACACATTTGTAAGGGGGATTTTCCTGTATATATTGGGCAAGATGGCTTCGTTCTGTGAATATCATTGTCTTCTGGCTTCTGCAAGTTGGCAAACTCAGTCTCTGATGCTTAAAACACCCTTGATCCTCTTCTCAGCTTATTGACAACTGGATTCTTTTCCTTTAAGTTCCGCACTCAGTCCCACATCCATGAATGAAGTCACCCCAGAAATCTTTCCCCTCAGCTGAAGGTGATCTCTCCCATTCACTAAAACATCTTGTCCTTTGCCCTGGTCAAGTTTTACCTGGAACCATACCTAGTTGTGAATAGTCCTCATCTCTTCCATATTACAGTAAGCTCCTTAAAAGCAAACACTGCGTTGTTTCCATCTTTTTTTTTTATTTCTAGCACCTAAGTAATTGTCAAATAGCGTTTAGCCACTCATTGTTCCAAGTGCATGTGCACCAGGTTCCTATGGATTCTGTCCCTACAAGAGTTTTTCTACCTACAAAGGGCATCAGATTTTTCCAGTGTTAAAAGTCAGTGAAAAAGAGAGAGGGAAAAGGAGGGATAGGATGAATGAATTAATGAATATAAAAGCACTTGTTAGGTTCTTACTATCTGCAAAGCACTGTGTTAAGTGCTAGAGAGACAGATAAAGCAAGAAAGTCCCTGCTCTCAAGGGATTTACATTCTAATAGGAAGAACAACACATTTGGGGAGAGTAATATGATTTTTAGAGCCTGAATTTGGAGTCAGAGATACCTGAAGTTGAGCTCTTATGCTCCGTGGCAACATAGGGAAGCCTATTTTCTCCTTTGTAAAATGGGGATTATAATACTTGTGCTCTCTTGTGAGTTGTGAGGAAAGCACTTTGTGAACTATAAAGCTGTATATGTAAATGTGACCTGCTATTATCATGTTCCCTTTAGTGTAGTATTCGTGAAGTGGGACAAGCATAGAACTGGGGAGTCAAGGTTCAAGTCTAGGTTCTAGCCCCAGTTCAAACTAGTTGTTTGCCCTTGGTTGTGTTACTTTTTTTATGTGGTTCTCATTGTGCACTGTAAAAAACCAGGGGATTGAATGACAGTGATCTCTAAGATCCTCTCAAGTCCTGAGATCATATAACAATATGTGCCTAATCCCATTCTTTTGGGGCCCTGCTCACTCTTTTCCAAGGTAATAATAACTCAGTCAGTCATGTCCAACTCTTAGTGACCCCATTTGGGGTTTTCTTGGCAAAGATACTGGAGTCGTTTGCCATTTCCTTCTCCACCTCATTTTATAAATGAGGAAACTGAGGCAAACAGGGTTAAGTGACTTTGCCCAGGGTCACAAAGCTAGTGTCTGAGACCAGATTTGAATTTAGGACAATGAGTCTTCCTGAGTCTAAGCCCAGTGCGCTATCAACTGCGCCACCTAGCTGCCCAATAATAATAATTCTCTTAGCGAAAAACACCCCTGCTTCAGGGCCTCTCAAATTACAGCTTCTCAATCCCTTCACCAAACTCCTACAAAGAGAGTGAGAGAACTATGAGACAACATTAAACTTAGAATCCGAAGATCCAGTTTTGAGACCTGGTAGCAGTTAAAGGAACCCTGCACTTGAAATGAGGAAAACACTGTGTAAATGTTAAAGCACTATATAAATGTGAACTATTATGATTTATTAAATGAATGCTAAAATTGCAGGGAGAATTAACTGGTCATCCTGCACTGCATTTGAAGTTGGACTAGGTGACCACTAATGTCTCTTCTAAATATGAATCAGAAGACCAGGATCAGGTACTCCCTCTGATACTTATTAGCTATGGGTCACATCTCTTTACTTCTTTGACCCTCAGTTTCCTCATTTTTAAAATTTGGAGAGTTATATTTGCCCACATTTAAAACCACTTGGCCTAGTAGTAGGGAGAAGTGCTTTGTAATTTTAAAGTGCTGTGTAAATTAAATCTACAGTTGGTATTCTGATAGGGAGTAGGTTGTCTACAGAATTCTTTAGCTCAGAAGATTAGGACTCTTAATGCCTTTTTTCTTGTCCACTATTTGACTCCCTTCCTGTGTGCCAAACTATTAAATACAAATCATTTGTTTTCCTTTTCCTTTTGGCTTGGATTTGACAGACTCTAGATCCCAAGGTATTCTACAGTTCTTAATATGGAAGCAATATAAGTTTGCTTCTAGCTCCCATATAAAGTGTAAAACTTAGAAATCTACCCATTCTTGCAAACATCTGCCTGCTATCAGTCCAGGAAATCTGGAGTTATTCTCCTGAGTATTCCCTGGCCTCGCTCCACTTCTGAATTGAGATTACTCAATGAAATACAGTGACTGTGACAATAAAATGTTTGGGGGTTTTTGTATTTCTGTATTTCTAGGTTTTCACTAGACAAATCATGAGAATGAATGAAAAGGTATTAAGTGCTTACAGTGTACCAAGCACTGTGCCATGGAGATGTCAGTCATAGTAAAGTTATAGTGATATTAGTGTAGAGAAGGGTTTTCTGTGGTTTACAAGTTTTGTTTGTTTCCTAACAGCAAATTCGTGAACATCATTAGAGAGAAGAAAGAAGTCTACCAAGCAAACTGAGCCATCTTGTGGGTTAGATGTCAGAAGCCAGTCTTTCTGACAATAAGATGTCAGCAACATGTTCCCTCTCAGAAGAACTCAGGGCCTTGCTCCCACAGACCAAAGAGGACTTCAAGTTAGATTTCAATGAGAAGGTTGAAAAAAGTGTAGTAGTATTACTTCATCAAGCTAGAGAGCTTTTCTATGAAGGAAAAAAAAATGAATGTCTGAAGACAAGTGAAATAATACGAGATTACTCCTGGGAAAAACTTAATACTGGAACTTGGAGGGATGTGGACAAAGAATGGAGACGAGTTTATTCTTATGGGTGTCTTTTGAAAGCTCTTTGTATGTGCCTCAAAATTGATGACATAGCAGAAGCAATCAGAGTCTGTGACATGGGTCTGTTGATGGGAGCATCCATACTGGGGAATATTCTGGTTAAAGTAGTCAATGTCCTTCAGAAGCATCTTCAACATAGGAAAAGACCTTCTGAAACTGGGATTGAGGAACTGAGCAAAAAGGTATTAATCTGAGAGATTGTTACTGAATTACATGTAATAGATGCTAACATAGTGGTTCCTATAAAAGCAGAATCCCAGATTCCTTCCAGGCTGAATGTCTGTAGCCCACTGACCTGAGCTGTCCATGGTTGATGAACTGTTGAACATGTTGTTTTGAGGCAGACATTGATTTTACAAATGGAACATTTCAGCCTATTTTCTTGGTTTATTTGCAATTTCTCCAGCAGCAATTTTCCATTGCTTTTTTTTTTTAGTGTAGCATTTATGGTCTCAAAAAGAAACACCTCAGACACTCTGTAAGAGTGAGTCCATTTTAGTCCATTTTGTACATATCTTTATTGGTCAGCTAGCTGAATTATCATTCACTTTTCTTGTTACATGTGCTTCTATTTTGTTTCCTGTTGTTGAGTTTGTAATGGAAATGGCCACAAACTAACTTTTTCTGACTCATGGATGCTGTCATTTGAGTACATGGGATTTTTTGAGATGCTTATATTATTGCCCCAGAAATATGTTACCTTACTGAGAATCAGTATCTTAAATGTGTTTTGCCAAAGAATACCTCCAGCCAGGGTTTATGGCTTGGTTTAAATCTGAGTTGTTTAAAAGTATCAGAATCAACCAGCTTATGTTATTTTCCTAGCCTTCCACTAAAGTTGTTGTAGGTATTGTAGCCACACCTGATGATGCTACTGCCTAATGGGTCTCAGTTCAAATAATCAGTCATTAATTCAAAAAGTGTTTTCAGTTCTGTGCTATGAGAAACATGAGAGAAATGTACACGTTTTCTGCCCTTAGGGAAAGACAGCATTAAATAATAGCCTAAGTTAGAATGTGACTAAGTGCTGAAGTGTATAGTATTGGCTGGGAACAGTAAAGAAATTCAGCCATCATGTATAATTGCCTGCTACATTACCAGAACGGTGCTAGATGCTGAGGAAAGTACCTAGCTCACTAAGAAATACTTCCTTCTGTCCAGAAGCTTCTGTCTAGTAGTAGAAATGGGGCTTGAAGGATAGAAAAGATCTGAGATGTAGCAAAATAATGAAAACTAACATTTCTGTACCAACAACAATGCTGGAAGTAGGGGCTATTATTATCTGAAGTTAACAAATGAAGCAACTGGGACAGGCAGAAGTTAAATGACTTGTTCAAGGTCATATAGCTTGTGTTTGAAGGATTTGTACACAAGTCTTCCTCACTCCAGACCCAGTGCTCTATCCATTGAGCCATCTGGTCGCTCAGCAGAAAGAGTTAGAAAACCTAGATTCAGATTTTGACTCTACTGTTTACCTTTATGACCTTCTGGGCCTCATACTATGTATGTAAAATGAGGGTGTCTTAAAGATCCTTTCTTAAATTCTAAGTCCTATAGGAAGGCAGAAAGGACATGAGAAGGTATTATAAACAGGAGCATAAGCAAAGAACTAGAGCCTGATACATGAAAAGGTTGAGCTGATCCAAATGAAAGATATGTATCATAGGGGAAAATCCGTCCTTTTTTTCCCCCCATAGGCAGTGGGGTTTAGTGACTTGCCCAGGGTCACACAGTTAGGGTCAAGTGTCTGAGGCCAGCTTTGAACTCGGGTCCTCCTGACTCCAAGGCCAGTGCCGTATCCACTGCGCCACCACGCTGCCCCAAATCCATCCTTTTAAATAAATTTTTGACTCTAAATAGTGTTCCTATCTCTGACCATTGGGAAGAAATGTAGGACATCTGAAATATGTATTTCCTGGGAAGTTCATATGTTTGTATGGTAGTTTTCCTTAGAAAATACCTTTTCTTTACCTCCATTGCTAGGAAATAGGTACTTTCATAAGTTTGTGTAAACTATGTGTAAATACAGTTTGTTGTAACTCAAATTCTGTCTTTATATACAGAAAACCAAGAGTAACCGTACATTGACTCCAGCTGTGAAATTAGGAACTGCAGTTCCACAACTACAATGCCCTTCACTTGAGTTTTTTAGGAAAAATTATTTGGTTCCACAAAAGCCTGTTATTTTGGAAGGGATTGCTAACCACTGGCCATGCATGAAGAAATGGAGGTAAGTAGCAAAAGTAAATAAGTTCATGTCATTTTCCCCATTTTGTGCCTCCTCAGCAGGTTGATGAATATAGTCTCAATAAACAAGTTACCACTGAATCTAAGAATTTTATGTTTGTGATTAAAAAAATCATTTGGTTCTCTTATTCTGTACCATAGGCTGCAAGATTATTTTAAACTTTTTCCCCCTTCCCATTCTTGTGGGTGTTTACATCTTAGGTTTCCTTTATACTAAATCAGACACGTATTAGCACTTCACTGCTCTGGGCCTTATTTTCCCAGCTATAAAATAGAGATAATAGTACTTGCACAGAAGTGTTATGAAGAAACTGCTTTGTCAGCCTTAAAACAGTATAGAAACATGAGTTGCCATTATTTTGAGGGGCTTTCTAGTACAATAGAAAGAATTATTATCACCGTAGAATGTCTAGCAATAGACTGAGTCTACATTCTGAAGACTAGCTTATCTGAGTATGGAGAGGTTTCTTACCTGTAAACCAGCCACTTGGTGACAAATTCTTTGGCCATGGAAACCCATGGAACAAAGAAAGATACAAAGTGTTCTTCAGACCCCGGTGGCCCTCTTCTGCTTCTGCAGTGACAGTGGCAGAGTAGCAAGGAAAGGGACAGAGGGTGCTAAGAATCACTTATTTGACCATCTATAAATATTAATTAGATATGCTTAAGTGTTGTGAGGTCCTTGTCCAGTGACCAAAGAGTGGTCACACTGCTGGAGGACCCAAATCAAACACATTTTTATATTCTTCCTATAAATGAAATCAGAAGGAACAAATAAGTTGTGACTAAATAGAAGAAGGCTTGTAGATATTCTTTGGAGGGGGAATAAAAGGAGTTGCTGGGGTTGGTTTTATCTTGTGGCCAAAGGCAACAGGAAGCATTTTTTCATGGGATATTGATCATCTCATATTGCAATACTCATGATAAGTATTTGCAAAGAAACTACTATAAAAATAATTATACCTTACATACTGACATTATTAAAGAGAATAGAGGTAGAAAAATTATGTGAAAAACTCTATAAGGCTTTCCCAGTTAAATCGATATACACTTACATGACCACTAAATTTATTGCTTCAACACAAAGATTAGAAAAAATTGAGGTCATTGAGAAGTGTATGAGAAAGCATGGTTCAGGAAGGAGTGAGAGAAGCCAAACTTATAGACTGCACAGAAACTTCATGACTTTCTGTCGTGAACACTTCAAGAAATGAATTTGTAGGTGCTAGACACAGCATCAAATAACATCACAAAAAGTGAAATTCAAATGGACAGGAAAATATTCATTATTATGTGTGTTATTTTTCTTCCCCTGCTGGTGGGCCATCTCCCCGCCCCCCACCTCCCACTCATCCTGGAGACCTATACAGCCCTTGAGAATTATAGTACTGCTCTGTGATTTGGACTTCCTTTGGAATAGAAATGAACTTGGGTTTGCTGTGTGTTTCAGGAGCTTTCCAAAAAAGGGAATTTTACATTAGGGGCTGCTAGAGGCTTCCTCCCTCCCCCCACCATACACTGAGTTTCCTACCCCATTTAGGGACAGTCTTCCATACCGACAAAAGGAATTTGCAGTTGCTAGAGAGACAACACTCTGCTTCCCACTGGGGCTTCACAGTTTGAATAACTAGCTGATCGTTACCTCCTCTAACTAATACAAGAGATCCTGGTTGTTTCCCCCACATCCTCACTCAGTCCATTGCTGCTCCTCCAGCCCCAGAACTATGTGCTTGCCCATCTTCTTTCTGGAGGGCTAAATCTAGGAATTCTTGATATCCAAGGATTCTTATTCTTCCACTGTTACCATATAGTTCCATCCTCAGACTAGTTGGAGATAGAGGTCCCAGTTTGCTCTTCCAAACCATGGATCTGCATTTTGTAGCTTCCCTACCTCCAGTGCTAAATGTTTGATCCTCTTCTAAGAGAATGAGGCAGTGAAATGTCTTAGTGGATAGAGCACTGGACTTGGAGTCAGGAAGTTCTGAGTTTGAATCTTACCTTACACATTTAGTAGCTGTATGATCCAGAGCAAGACACAAATCCTTTCTCTTGGCCTGCTTCCTCATCTGTAAAATGGAGATAATAGCACTTTTTCATGTATCTTCAGTCTCTCGCTGTCTACTGGCTGCTTCCTTTTATCTACAGACATGCCCATGTTTTCCCCATCCTCAAAAAGCCCATCCCTAATTCATCCATCCCTACTAGATATCATCCCATATCTCTCTTCCCTTTTATGGCTAAATATCCTTAAGAAGGCCAATGACAATAGGTATCTCCATTTACTTTCACTCTTTTTTTTATTGATTTATTTTGATTTATCAACATTCACTTACATAAGTTTTGAATTTTAAATTTTTCTCCCCCTCCCTCTTCACCTCCCTCCCCAAGATGGCATGCAATCTGATGTAGGCTATATATATACATTCCTGTTAAACATATTTTCACATTAGTCTTGTTGTAAGGAAGAATTAGAACCAATAGAAGGAACCACAAGAAAAAGGAAACAAAATAAAACAGAAGAAAAAAAAGAGCAAATAGTACGCTTCAATTTGCATTCAAACTCCACAGTTCTTTCTTTGGATGTGGATAGCATTTTCCATCATGAGACTTTTGGAGATGTCTTAGATCCTTGCATTGCTGAGAAGGGCTAAGGCTATCAAAGTTAGTCATCGCACAATGTTGCTGTTACTGTGTACAACGTTCTCCTGGTACTGCTCACTTCACTCAGCATCAGCCCGTACAGGTCTTTCCAGGTTTTTCTGAAGTCTACCTGCTCATCATTTCTTATAGCACAATAATGTTCCATTATATTCATATACGGCAACTTGTTCAGCCATTCCCCAGTTGATGGGCATCCCCTTAATTTCCAATTCTTTGCCACCACAAAAAGAGCTGCTATAAATATTTTTATACGTGTCTCACTCTCTTCTCAACTATTTATAGTGTGGCTTCCATCCTCATCAGTAAGCCAGAACTGCTCTCTAGTTACTAGTGATCTCTTAATTGCCAAATCTAATATTTTTCAAACCCCATCCTTCTTGAACTCTCTGCAGTCTTTGACACTGTTAATCAGTGTCAAACCTCTTCTCTTTGATACTTTCTTCTTTCTAGGTTTTCATGACATTACTGACTCCTGGTTCTCCCACCTATCTGACTGTTCCTTCTCAGCCTCCTTTGCTGGAACTTCATCTAGGTCAAACCTCCTAATTATGGGTGTCCCACAGGGCTTTGTTCTGGGGCCTCTCCTCTTCTCCTTCTGTACTATTTCACTAGGTGATCCCCATCAGCTCTCATGGATTCAATTATTATTTCTATGCTGATGATTCTCAAATCTGCTTATCCAGCCCTGACCTTTCTTCTGACCTCCTGTCTCACATCTCCAACTGTCTTTTGGATATTTCTAATTGTATGTTTTGTAGACATATTAAACTTAACATGTTCAAAACTGAACTCATTACCTTTCCTTAATCCCTCCCCACTTCCTACTTCCTCTTACTGCTGAGGGTACCACCACACTCTCAGTCACCTAGGCTTGCAACCTAGGTCCCATCCTCAACTCCTCATTCTCACTACCACCTTGGTGGTTGGGGTGTTGTTCAGTCTTTTCAGTCACGTCCAACTCTTCAAAATTCCATTTTGGGGTTTTCTTGGCAAAGATACTGGAGTGGTTTGCCATTTTTCCTTCTCTAGCTCATTTTTTACTGATGAGGAACTAAGACAGATTGGGTTAACTGACTTGCCCAGGGTCACACAGCTATTAAGTGTATAAGGCAAGATTTGAACACATGAAGGTGAATCTTCCTGATTCCAAGCCCAGTTCTCTACTGTGTCACCTAGCTACCTGGTACCACTCTGGTTCAGGCCCTCATTACCTTATAGCTAGACCATTGCAGTGGCCTCCCTGCCATAAATCTCTCTTATTCCAATCCATCCTTCACTCAGCTATCCAGTTAATCTTCCTAAAGAGAATAGCTGACCATGTCACTCCACTACTCAGTAAATTCCATTGGCTCCCCATTATCTCCAGGAGCCAATATTAAATCTTCCTTTTGGTGTTCAAAGCCTTTTATCACTTGCCTTCCCACCATCTTTCCTGTCTTCTTACACTTTACACCCCCTCTGCACTCTCTGATCCAGTGGCCTCCTTCATGTTCCATCTCTCAACACCCAGCATTTTCTCTGGCTGTCCCCCATGCCTACAATGCTCTCCTACCTTGTCTCTGCCTCCTGGCTTCCCATAAGTCCCAGCTTAAATCCCACTTTCTGCAGGAAGCCTTTCCTCACTAATTCTAGTGCTGTCCTTCTTTCAGTTATTTCCAGTTTATCCTGTATACAGCTTGTCTGTCTGTAATTGTTCTCGTGTTGGCTTCCCTGTTAGTATGTGAATTCCTTGAGAACAGAGACTGCCTTTCTTTGTATCTCCAGTGCTTAGCACAGAGTAGGAGCTTAATAATGTTTATTGATGACTGACTGAGGATTAAAGCACTTTGAAAATCTTAAAGCACTATATAAATGCTAGCCATGTTGATGGTAATGATGATGATAAAGAAGGAGGAGGAGGGGATTGGTTTAAGAATGGAGCGCTAGCCAAAACTCCTTACAGTTCTCTTCAGGAGCCTGGGTCCAGGGTTATCAAATACGATGGGCTAAAATTCCCCCTTCCTAGAGCCATGTGATTCCAGTGCAGGAACTTGCTAGTGGATCTGCACAGCTGCCTCATGGCTTGAGTAACATTCCTCCCTCCTCTCCTGCAGTCACATAGAGAGAGGCTCTGCCACTGGCTTTGCGGCAGCTATTCCTCACGGCTGCCTCCTATCCTGTGCATATGCTTCACACACACACACACACACACACACACACACCCTGCTCTAAGCTTTAGGTGTGTTGGTGTCAGCAATTGAGGGATGGGGCGGAGGGAGGGGTTAGTAGAAAAGGGTAATGCTTAAATTGAGTGTTGAAGGAGTAAAGAATTCCCTAAGTTGACAGTAAGGCCATGAAGGACATCAGAGGCACAGACATGGCTGATGGAATGCTTTGTGTGAAAACCAGCAAGAAGGCTAGTTTGGCCCTACTATGGAGTACTAGAAGGAGAATAATGTGCAGTCAGGCTGGAAAGGTCTGTTGGGGCCAGATTGTTATGGACTTTAAATATAAATGTAACCCTTTCTAAAGCAAATCATTTTAAGAGCATTGGGGAAACTAATAGTGGAGTGGGAAGACTACTAGATTCCAAGGGCTTGGGTTAGGATCCCAGCTCTGCCGCTTATTATTCATGTGACAGGGTTTTCTTCTCTAGGACTCAGTTTCTTCATCTGTAAAATGAGGGGGTTATATTAAAGGATCTCCGGAAGCTTTCCTAGTGTTAAATTCTATGATCATATACATCCTGTGCTTCTCCATGGACAAATGGAAGCAAAGAACCCAGGAAACAGGAAACAATCAAATCAGTCAAAATTTATTAAGCACCTACTATGTGCCAGTTATTGTTAAGCTCTGGAGATTCAATAAGAGGCAAAAGAAAGTCCCTGCCCTCAAGGAACTTACCATGTAGTGGGGGAGACAATGTGCAAACAAACATATACAAAGTGAGCTATGCAGCATAAATAGGAAGTAACTAAAAGAGGGAAGGAATTAAGAGGGGTTGGGGAAGGTTTTCTGTAGAAGGTGGGATTTAGTTGAAACTTAAAGGAAGCCAGAAAAGTCAGTAGTCAGAGTTGAGGAGAGAGAGCATTCTAGGCCTGCTGAACAGCCAGATAAAATGCCCAGAGCTGAGAGATGGAGTGTCTTCTTCATGGAACAGCCAGGAGTTCAGTGTCACTGGTGAGTAAGGTATAAAAAACAAAACAAAACTGGAAAGGTAGAAGGGGGCTAGGTTATAAAGGGCTTTGAATGCCAAACAGCATTTTGTGTTTGCTCCTGCAGGCAGTAAGAAGCCATGAAAATTTATTGGATAGGTGGGTGGGGTGACACAATGACATAATGACAAGTATAAACTGAAAAGGGCACAATTTAGTGGGGGGGGAGGTGGAGGTTTGGGGAAGGGGCAGTGGTGAAGACCAGGAGAGGAATGGAGTTACAAGGCAAATAGGATATATTTTATGGAACTACACTGACAATGGGAATTCAGAGAGGTATAATATATGATAAGAAATCTAAGATAATTTTGAGCTTATAAGAGTATAAGCCCCTCAAGAGCAGACTTTTTACTTTTGTTCCCCATTCTTTAGCACATAGTAGGCACTGACTAAACGTTTATTAAATTGAGTAAATAGAGGAACAAAATTGTATAGTACAGTAAGCAAAACAGAACTTCAGAGGCCTGAAGAGCGACAACTGCAGGGATTTCGTGGAGTCTTATTTGAGGTGGGCTTTGCAGGAAGGACAACAGAAGGAAGTGAGGATAATTCAAGTGGTGGGGATCATCATGAGCATGAGTAGGGCATGTTGGGAGAAAATGGCTGAAGTGAACAGCTCATAATATAAGACTAAAAGAAATGACACTCCAAATTATACTGTGATCCTCTTCTTAGAGTAGGAAAACCGAAGCCCGGCACGATTCAATGATTTCCCCATCACTAAGTGGTTTCTAAGAGTGAGAGCACAACTTGTGTCTTCGTGGTCAATCTTGTTTCAGTACAAACAGGAGAAGTCTGCACCCTTACTTAGTAATATGCCCTGGAATCATTCAGTTTCCACGTATCTCTTTCCAGATGACTATTATCCACATCTTCATTTTCAGAAAGCAAGAACTAAACAAAAAAATGTGGCATGAGTCAAAGCTTGTTCACAAGTCTTTCATCAAAAGACTGTCTGTGTAAAAATAGGATAAACTTGTCAAAAGTGTTAGCGGATGTTGAAATAAATCCACTCGTTCAGTTTCACTCTAACCAAATCAAAGAATTGGTTAGTAGTGGTCACAGGCATTCTTAACAAGTAGCTGCTTTTCAAAAAAATGAATTTTCCTGTATACTTCTCCCCTCCAAGCCCAAGTGTCAGGTGTTTATTCTCAGCGTAGTAGCCTGCAGATTTTCAAGTGATAACTTCTAAAGGAACTGGCTCTTGAGGCATAACATTATGAATAACCATCAGATTGGGTTACTCTAGGAAAAGGTGAATTACCCTGTCTTAAGCAGGTTCAGAGAACTAGTAGTTAATAAAGCAAACGTATGCTGAGGAAGAACTAAAGTCTAAAAAGTTAGGTTATCATATAAGAAGTTAGCTCTGTTACTGCTATAGCAATTCATAATAATTAATACTATAGCTGTTGTTGTTCAGTCATTTTCAGTCATATCCAACTCTCCATGATCCCTCTTTGAGTTTTTCTTGGCAAAGACACTGGAGTGGTTTGCCATTTCGTTCTCCAATTCATTTTACAAATGAGGAAACTGAGGCAAGCAGGGTTCAGTGGCTTGCCCAGAGTCACACAACTAGTAAGTGTCTGAAGCTGGATTTAAATTTAAAAAGATAAGTCATCCCGATTCCAAGCCCAGGGCTCTATCCACTGTACCACCTCATATAGCTATAGGGGATAAATAATCTAGTACTTCAGTTAGGAATGTGTCAGTGTAGGTCAAGGACATTAGGTAATGGAAATGAGACAGTAAAAATTCTGTGGCAGCTAAAGTATACACACTACTGAAGAAGAAGAAAGGTGTGCTGAGGTCCGAGAAATAGTACTCTCCTATTAGTTGAGAGGGTTAATGTCCTTGAATCATAGATGATAAAAATTTCCTTAGACTAATAAAAGTTTCAATTATCATAACCTTTGTTATATTTGTACCTTGAGTTTACATTTCCCCAGACTCTTCTATCAGGATTGAAAGTGACAAGGGAAGTGACCAGGAAATTGAACAAAACTCTGCAAATATTTGCATACTCAGGATATAAATGAAATTGGATTGCTCCTGGTGGGAATTATGTAGCATGTTTAAAGAAAGCTGAATAAATGTAGCCTCTTGGTTTGTATTATATTTTCATTGGCATTTTGTGTTGGAGGAACAGTAGAACATGGAAAGCACTGGAAGAGGATTGATAAGTAGGGAAATTTGTTAGGCTGATGAAAGTTTTGACTGGCCCAAAGATTTTTAGAAACAAATTCCAAACTCATCATATTGTATGTATTTCTTTCTGATAGTTTGGACTATATTCAAGAAATAGCTGGCTGCCGTACTGTCCCTGTGGAACTGGGGTCCAAGTACACTGATGAAGAATGGTCTCAAAGCCTCATGACTGTCAGTGAATTTATCAGCAAATATATTGTGAATAAGGTCTGTCCTTTTTTTTCTCTAAGTGCTTATGAAAAGATAAATTAATATTTTTGACACGTGTTCCCATGCACTGAAATTTAAAGAGATATATGGGAATAGGGCTGTAAGTGCCAGGCAACTTCATAGTCTCAGTGGGGTAGAGTAGAGGTAAGCAATCAGATATACCAGGATATGGAAACCAGAATATTTGGAAGTGTTAGGACCTATGTGACCTATTTCCTCCATGAAGCCATCTTCTGATACATCATTATTTATGGCATTGACGTGACCCTGGGTTCAGGAAGGCTTTGCCAATAGAGCACAAGCTATGTCAGGTTCTGCCGTGTTAGAAAATTTTTGGGTGCAATCCCTGTAATAGACTGTGTCTACCTTCCGGAGAAAAGCATAGCTTAACATGGAGAGGATCGTAACCTCTATGGTGATGAATTCTTTGGCCATTGCAACCCATACTACAAGTAAAAATACAAAATGGACTTCAATCCCATGCAAGCCCCTCTGTTTCTACAATAATGGTGGCAGAATAAAACCAAAGGAGGCAGAGGATACTAAGAATCACAGTTTTTAGGCCATCTATAAATATTAACTTAGATTTTGGTAGTCTAAATGTGAAACACCTGTCATGGAGTCATATTAATCATTACATTCTCCTTATAAAGAAAACCAGAAGACAGTAGGAAGTTACAGCCAAATGAAAGGATGATTCACAGGCTCTCCTTGGAGAGGTAAATGAATGAACTCGTTGTGTTCGTATTTGTGCGTCCAAAAGCAATAAGTGATGTTTCATGGGATATTTGATTATCTTGTATGCTCGTGATAATTATTTGCAAAAAAGACCACTATGAAAATAATTATACCTTATGTCACTATTTCAGAGGATGAACAGCAAGAAAAAATAAGACCTTTTAAATTAAATCAACATATACTTTCATACTCAGTGACTTCATTGAATAGGTGTTGAAAAATGTGGGAGAAAATATGATTTTAGGAGTAAAGAATGAGAGGGGCAAAAAATTTGTATTCTACACAAAAGTCTTACACACATACTTCTTTGAGAAAAGAATTGAGAGGTGTTGGACATGGTGAGCACTGAATAATATCACATGGACAAAATAAACTGATTATATTTTAATTGGCAGGAAATAACTTATTACAATTTTGAGACACCTTCCTGAATTAGCTGTCTTTATACAGGGAGACCAGCCTAGGCTAGTGCCATTCCCTCTAAGGTTAACTTCCGTTGACTTTATATTTATCTTGTATGTTCAGATTTATAAATGTTGTCTCCCTTATTAAAACATAAACTCCTTGAGGCTGAGTCAAGATGGCAGAGTAAGAGGAAGCAGTTGAGCCTTGTTCCCCATAGTTATCAGACCAAATTCTGATTGGGAAGGACAGAGAGAAGTCACATGGAGTCACTTTTCCAGCCCAGGATGGTTTAGGGAGAAAGCCATAGTGAGGTTTGGAGACACTGGGGACGGAGTCTGGCCAGGAGCATGCATAGCATGGAGCCTTTCAGCACACAGAGACTGCCTGAAAGAAAGTCAAGATAGGGCACCAAGACAGGAAAAGATGCCAGGGGAGCCCTGAACTAGCTCTGAGTGCAGGAATGGGTACCATGTAACAGCTCTGTTGCCTACTACCCGGCTCCAGGTCATTGATCCAGGGCAGAGAGAAGCAGTCTCGAGGGTTGGCTGTAGCTTTGTACTGAGCAAGGAACGAGCTCCAGAACCATAATTGTGTGGCTCTGATCCCCAGAGGTACAAAAGATCACTGAAGAAAATAACTCCTTGAAAATTAGAATTGGCCAAATGAAAGCTAATGACTCCATGAGACTTCAAGAATTAATAAGGCAAAGTCAAAAATCCAAAAAAAGAAAATGTGAAATATTTCATAGGAAAAACAACAGACTTGGAAACCAGATCAAGGAAAGATGTTTTAAGAATCACTGAACTACTTGAAAGCCATGAACAATAAAAAAGAACCTAGACATTATATTTCAAGAAATCATAAAAGCTGCCAAAATATCTTAGAACCAGAGAGCAGAATAGAAATTTAAAGAATCAATCAGCCATCTTCTGAAAAAAAAACCCAAAATTAAAACTCTCAGGAACATTATAGCCAAAATCTAGAACTCCCAGGTCAAGGAAAAATATACTGCAAGCAACCAGAAAGAAAGAATAAAAGTACTGAGGAGACAAGGTCAGGATTACACAAGTTTTACCAGCCACTACTTCAAAGGGAGGGAGAGCTTGGAACATGATATTCCAGAAGGCAAAGGATATTGACTTACAACCAAGAATCGCCTCCCCAGCAAAACTGAGTATAATCTTCAGGGGGGGGGAAGATGGATCTTTAATGAAATAGGGGACTTCTAAGCATTCCTGATGCAAAGACCAGAGCTAAGTAGAAAGTTTGAAATATAAACACAAGAGTCAAGAGAAGCATAAAAAAGGTAAACATGAGTAAGCAATCAATCATAAGGGATTAAAGAATAACTTTACATTCTTACATAGGAAGATGATAATTGTAGCTTCTCTTTACTCTATCATAATTGGGGGTAAGGTTTGGGAGTGATTTGTTATGTTTTGATGGTCTCAAATGAAAAAAGGGCAAGGATTAGAGAAGAGGAGAGATCAGATCTCAGAAGAGTTCTCAGGGTATCTAAAAGAGGGAGGGGAAGCTGCCAAAATCATGGAAGAAAAAATATCTCAGTCCATACTATTAACTCTCCCCCCCACCAAAAAAAAAAAAAAGAATACCAGGAGCAAATCAATAATTCCTCATCTGAATACCTACTTTTCCTTCTACAAAAAAAATGTTTATGAGAATAAACATGCATCAAGGACATATTTGTTGAAGATATTTGAAGGGAAAAGGTGGACTTTCACAAGCAATATTCCAGAACGTTATACAATTGACTGAAATAGCTTAATGTAGTTATTAAGTTTGTATTATAAGTGAAAATTTTATTCAGTAAAGCAAAATGCCACTTTAAAGGCACTCATCCAATAAGATGTGTAAAAACCATGCATGCATATGTCAGAATTCTACAAGATATAATAACAGATAACCTTGTTTGGCAATCCTCTGATTATTAATATAAAGCAGGGCATAAAACAGGAAGCTGTAAGCTCACAAAAAATGTTCAATCTATGATAGAGTCCAAATTGAGAAGGAATTCCAATAGAGAGTAAGGTCTTCTATATAATCTTGTATTCAGGTTTCATTGCCCTTAATTTATTAAGCTCTAGAACATCGTAGATACTCCTAACAAGATGGTGAATGGCATTGAGATCATGCTACATTTGATCTGTTGAAATAACTGGGAATTTTTAGCACAGAAAGATAACTTCAGAGAGACATGACAGCTGTCTTCAAGTAAGTAAAGGCCTGTCAGTTGTCATAAAATTAGACTATTTCTGCTAGGGCTCACCCCCAGGGCAAAACTAGGGTCAGTGGGTTGATGTTGCAAAGAAGCAAATTTAGACTTTACATAAGGAAAAACTTCCTAATAAATAGAGGTATCCAAAGGTATAATGGCTTGCCTTGGGAAGTAGTAAATTCCCTTTCACTGAAAGTCTTCAACAAATAAAGGCTGGATAGCCATTTGCGTATGTTTTAGAAAGGATTCTTATTTGTATATTGGGATGCACTGAATGGCCACTGAGCTCCTTTCCAACTTGCTAAAATCTACCAGATTTGTGCTGTAGTAGCATAGCCTTCAAGAACACAGAGCCATCATCACACCATAATGAGGTATACAAGTAGGACTTCTACTGAGGATATGTTCTATGATGTTTCCATATCTTACTCTTATCTTCCTTTTTTTTTCTTACTCGTATCCTTCAAGCAAGACCATCAACTCCAAATGATTGTCATGTTGTATTTGTTGTTGTTGAGTTGTTTCAGTCATGTCTGGTTCTTCATAACTCCATTTACAGTTTTCTTGCCAAGGGTACTGGAGTGGTTTACCATTTCCTTCTCCAGCCCATTTTATAGATGAGGAACTGAGGCAAGCAGAGTTAAGTGTCTAGACTCGATTTGAACTCATGAAGATGAGTCTTCTTGATTCCAAGCCCAGTGCTCAGTCCACTCTTTCATTATTCCAGAGGCATTGTTTGATAGGGTAGAAAGAGCACTGAATTTAATGGCAAGAAGATCTGGGTTCACCCAGTTCTGATACTAACTGTATGACCTTGGATGAGTCATTTAACCTGAGTATCAGTTTCCTCATCTCTAAAATGTGAACAAGCCTGCTTTATAGGCCTGTTTTAAGAAAAAATTCATTGTAAACTTTCAAGTGATATATAAATGTAAACTTGTATTATTTTGACAGATTTTAGACTCCATGAATGCTCATTTACACCAGTACAAAAAGTGAAAATTCACTTAGGAACATTAAAATCACTAACTTTTGTCACAAAAATCAGAATTACCATGGTGCAAAACCTAATATCCTGTCTCTGATCTTATCACAAAGAGTTATATTGTGGGTGAACATGGTCATATTTCTTAATATTAAGCTTGGGACATGGAATTAAGTGTGAGTACTTTTATTAAAGTAATGGGTTTTCCTAGTGCTGAAGTGAAATAGCTATTTATATAATGCACTGATTGGGAAGACTGAAGAATGACAGCTGCTGATTAGAAAGCAAACATAGTGCCATTACAGTTCACTCCATTAAGGAGCTAACCTAGCTGGGAGAGCTTTATGCTGTAACCCTGCATCTCCCCCTCCCCAGCCCTACTTCCTCCCCATAAAGGACATTCATTCCCAGAACAGTAAGTTATAGTCCAAATTGATAGTTTTTTAAATAATAGCTTCAATAATAGCTTGATCACAGTGACATCATATAGTCACAACTGATTCCTGCATATCACCATCTTCTCTTTGATCTTCTGTTCTTCCTCCCTCAAAATAGGAGAATGACATTGGATACCTTGCTCAGCACCAATTATTTGATCAGGTAAGTGTATGGATTGCATTTCTTCTTTTTGGGTTCAAGTCTTGACCCTGAAATTTAACTGGCTTTGTGACCTTGAGCAAATCACTTAACCTCTCTGTGAGTAGCTCACTCTCTAAATTGCAGAGCAGTTAATGAGCTGCATTTTTAAAGGAAGTTTCCCCACAAGGATACACCAATAAAATCACAGGTCTGGTTTTTTAAAAGTAGTAATAATAATAAATATTCTATGGTAAGTTCCAAGTGGGTGGTACAGACAAGTGTCATTGGAGTTCAAAGGAAGAAAAGATCATTGTAGGGTAGGTAGGGATGGCTTTCTAGAGCAAGACATGAGCTAAAGTCTCGAAGGATGATTAGGTTCAAAAAGATAGACAGGAAGAGGAAGTATGTTCCCGGTGAGCAGAATAGTGTGCAAAACAAAAAACCCCAGCAGACCCATCCAAGATGTGCTCGTGAGCAGCGAGTAGACTAGTATGACAGGAGGAACAATAGGAATTTGAGCCATAGATAGATGTAGGCCATATCGTAGAGGCCTTGGAATTCCATGTGAACGAATCTGGGCTTTAACGCATAATAACAGATAACCTTTTTAGACGTGAGCTATAGTTAGCAAGCAGTAGGCAACCGATGAATTTTTTGAACAGGAGTGTAACATGGTGAAAGTAGTATTGAGGAAAGTTTAAATCCAGCAGAGACATTTAGAATGTATCCATATGATAGGGATGCAGCAGAAACCACAAAATGTTAGAGCTACTTTTAGAGGGACTGTTGAGATTAGTTGGGCCAGTCCTCTCATCTGCAAAATGAGAGGCCTGATGGGGTAAGCGACTTATGTTTCCAAGGTCAAACAGCTAGTGAATGGCAGAGCCATAACCAGTGGCAAGATTTCCTGATTCTTAATCATTGTATTCACCATACCATATCTGTGAGTGAGGAATTTCCAAATTATATTACTGTCCCTATATTTTAAAGAGAATTTTTAGGAAATTATGGGAATTTATTGTCAGATTAACAATCTCACTACAAAAAAAAAAAAGAGTCCATGTTAAAAAAAAATCAAAGTTAGCCATTCATATGTTACATTCACATTCCACAGTTTCTGTCATATGAGCAGGCTACAACTTCAAAATTTTCCTAGCAAATACTTTCTTCAGTACTTTGGAGATGTGTAATTTCGTCTATGTAGATAGACCTCCCACCAAGAGACATTACAATCCCTTTATTCCTTATTAAACAATTTCTTGAATTGCTATGGCCAAAATAATTCATGTCTCTTCATCATAGCAAGTATGCCCCTCAAATGATATACACAAAGTCCATCACTAGGCCCAAATTCAAAATCTTTCCATCTTGGTAGGATCAGCCATATTCTTCAAGAAAACAGAATCACTCATATAATGAAGCCATCAGAGTAGAGCCGTGGTGGGGTTAGAAAATAAATCAATTGGTATTTAGTATTTTATGTATATAGATTCCATAGACCAAAGCCTCTTAGAAAAAGATGAGCTCATCTGGCTAATTTTTCTACTAACAAACACAAATAAGGGTCAAACCTCGAGAAAGAATCTAATTAATTTCCAGGCTAATGGGAAGTTTAACATATGGGTAGAAGAGAGTTGGACTTTGCCAGAATAGCATGAAGCTGGGCTTGGTGGTGCTGAACGTTTCCCTGAAATGCCAAAAGTGTATAAAGTAGTTTCAGAGCTGAGAGTTGACTGAAGTATTAATTTTTATAGTCATCTCTTCAGGTTGGAGGTTTTGCTGCCAATGGTTAGCCATTCCCTTAGCGAGGAGAGCAAAATAAAAAAAACAGTGGTGAGACTGAAGGTGAAAACGAGTAAGAAAAGAAAACCACCTAATACAATGAAAAAATACCATGGAGTAGTAAAATCCTAGGATAAAATTCAAAAAGAAAATAAATTTTGCATTATCTAGAACTCCAGAAAAAAGAGTAGAGTAGACACTGGAACCCCAAGTGTGGTTGGAAGGCCTAACTTAAAAAAAAGCCTGAAGGAGCAGCAAAGGAATGAACTGGATAAGCTTAGAGCGGAATCTGGAAAACCCTGGCAAAGCATTAGACATCTTGCAAAAAAAAAAATGCATTCTTTAATAATACATCAAAAATACTAGAGCAGAATCAAGACAGCAAGATTGGGAGAAAACCTGAAATAATCTTTTGTCAAAAGCAATTGCCCTATAATACGTAGTGCAGAGAAATAGCCTAAGAATCAGGCCAAATAAGTTAAATAGTTTGCCAAAGGTCACACAGGTAGTAAATTACAGACCCAGGATTTGTGCCTTAATCAGTTCAGTTCAGTAAACATTTGTTAAGTCCACATACTTACTATGTGCTAGATATTGTTAGGTGCTTCATCCTGGGGATATAAAGATAAATGAGATATTCATATATAAATGAGATTTTATACACACACACACACACACACATACACACACACACACACACACACACACATAAATATGTTCCTACATATGAGAAATTCACACATAAAGATGAGATATTCCCTGCCCTCAGGAAGCTTACATTCTACTAGGAATACTAGCTGACACAAGATAGTACTTTAAAGTTTACAAATTTCATCCTGTACATTATGTCATATTCTCACAGCAACTCTGTAACGGGCTGTGCAAAGCAAATATTTTATTTCTGTTTTTACATGTGAAGAAAGTGAGTGTCAGAGAGGTTAATTGTACCGCTAGTAAGTGTAAGAGCTGAGATTTGAACCCCAGTCCCTCCATACTGCCTCTTATGGTTTAAATATAGAGTGGAGCTGTTTGAAAGAAGGGACTAGCTCATTTTTGTCTTTGTAGTCCCAGGCCTAGTTCATTGTCTTTCACACGGTAGTTGCTTATGGTTTTAGAAATTGAATTCAGATGGAATTGCTTTTTCCAATGTACCACCGTACACCCAAGAAATGCTACTCTCTTTGGTAGCAGCGTAGTAGTCCTACCCTTACTGCCATCTTAGCAGCTTCTGATTCCTGGGCTTAAGGATAAACTGAAGTATATTAGATTTAAATTTGCAGTTTTCCAAACCTGACTTAGTAATTACATTGTCTAGGTATAGAGGTAAAAATAAGCAAGGCCAAGGACTTTGTGCCAAGCAACACTAGGAGGTACATGAATTTGATCTTCAGTTCCCCCTCACCTCTTTATACTCCTCGCCTCTTTATACTCCCCAGTTTCCTTTCTGCATATTGTGCATGCACGCACACGTACACACACACACACACACACACACACACACCCTCAGGAAAGCATTGATTGTACACATACTGCTCCCAGATGCCCAGTATGTCTCAGTGCAAAGGTTGGTTGACACCAATTCTCCCTTTGCCCTCCTCCCCCACCTTTCTTAAAACATCAGTAATGTATTCACTTTTACATAGTGGTTTACAGTTTACAAAGCACTTCCCTGGCAACAGTGCTGTAATGTAGCAGCAAAATAGAATTATTCTCATTTTATGAATAAGGAAAATGAAGCTCAGAAATGTTAGGTGATTTGCTAAAATTCTTACAACAAATAAGTGGCAGAATCCAGGACCTGACTTGATTTTTTAGCTGCAATTATAGTGCTGTTTCCACTGTACCATGCGCTTTAAAAGCCTCTTATTTACAAAGAAGCAACTAAAATATAAATACAAATGCTTATTCCCTTCCCCTCCTTCCTATGTAAATGATACTGTGCACTAAATTATTATTAGCCTTACCTACTCTCAAGACCAGTCAAGACCTTCTATCAATAATCTGACATTTTGAACTGGATGTCCCACATGTATCTTAAAACTCAACATATACAAAACATAACTAGTCCCTTTCCATCAGATTGTCAGCCCCTCAAGAACAAGGACAGTTTTTTGCTTTTCTTTATATCCCCATTGCTTAGCACAGGGCCAGGGACATAGCTGGCACTTAATAAATGTTTATTGACTCACATACTTTTCCATACTTGCTTTTTACTATCAAAGGTACCATGTCCTTCCAGTAACCCAGGGTCAAAACCTCAGTGTCATTCTTGATTCCTTTCTGTCACTCACCCCACACTTCCAGTCATTTGCCAGATCTTGTTTCTACCTCTACGACATTTCCATATATATATATCCCCTTCTCTCTATTCACACAGATCAGGCCCTTGTCACTTTTAGCCTGTGCTAGTTTAAAAGCCTCCTAATGTGAGGCATTCCAACCCATCCTCTGCTGCTGCCAAAGTCACATCTAACATCACAGCTACAACTGTAATACTCCCCACTCAGCAGATCCCAACGGGTCCTTATTGCCACTAGAATAAAATAGAAATTCGTTTTCTTTTTAAGTATTTAAAGCTCTTCACAACTTAGCCCCTTCCTGTCTTTCTAATTTTCCTACACATTACTACCTTCCACATCACCTAGTCAGGCAGGCAGGCAGGCAGGCACTGTGCTAATCAGTGGGAATACAGAGAGAAGAAGCAAGAAAGAAATATAGTCTCTGTCTTCAAAGAGCTTACGTTCTAATGGGAGAAGACAGTACTGAAAAGGAGCCGAAAGTGGAGTGGTAGAAGAGAAGGTACAAGGTGCAGGAGTGTGGCAGAGAAGGTGCTCTGGAGGTTAGTCAACAGCACAGGCTAAAAGTGACAGAGGCCTGATCTGTGTGAATAGAGAGAAGGGGGTAAATATGGAAATGTTGTAGAGGTAGAAACAAGATTTGGCAAATGACTGGAAGTGTGGGGTGAGTGAGAGAAAGGAATCAAGAATGACAACGATTATAGTCCAGCCATAATGGCATAATGGTCTGTCTCCTATCTCTCTGCCTTTGTGTTAGCTGTCCCCCAGGCCTAGGATGCATTCCTTTTTCACCTCTATTTCTTAGAATCCCTGGCATCCTATAAGATTGAAATCAAGTGTAACCTGTGAAAGAGACCTTTCCCACACCCCTTCAGCTTCACAAACGTTCTCTTTCCCATCTTCATATCTATTAGTCTACATGGTTGTCTCCCCTACTGCAGTCAGATGATATTACATATGTAAACACTCTATAAATGTTAGCTCTTATTATTATTATTAGCTATCAGAATGTAAACTCATTAATAACAGAAACTTTATACTTTTTCTATATATCATTAGCATTCAGCATAATACCAGGAACCTAAGTGCCTAATAAATGCTTATAATAATTGTTCAGTTGAACTATTAGCTTTAATTACACTCAAGACCAGTCGAGACTTCTAAAATAATTGATCATTTATTAAAAAGTAATTGAAAAATAACATCAGTTGTCTTCTCTTACATTTTTGGGGGGCCCATACTTGTGATTTTATTGATATAAGGAACTCCTGATGAGGAAATCCTCCCTACTAATCTAGACTGCCAAAAGTTCTGTAACTTCTAGTCTTCAAATTGCCATAGTCACTGGGAAGTTTCTCTTGTACTTTTATATAAACCTCTTAGTACTGCTATGCTAAAAGTTAAATCATTTCTGACACTTATGTAATCAGGAATGTTGGAAAATAAAACAAATTTAATTATTGAAATCTTATCTATTACATAGTACTTTTTGATGTTATGATTTATACGATGCTTTTGGAGAATTGCTTTCTTCTTCCACAACTCTCATTTTTAAACTAATTTTCATTTTTAACATGAGAAGGAAATGTTTAGTATTATGTTGAAATCCAAGTGTAAATCTGAATATATTTATGCTATTGGAGTCTATTACCCAGACTAAAGAAGTGTCTGAATATATTTATTATACTCAGAAAATGTGTAAGTTAAAACAGCAAACTTGGTTTCCTTAGTGACCCCATTTTTATATCTTCAATACTGTCTGGTTCAGAATATTTCTCTTTTGTGGGTTCATGATTAATAAAGTAGACTGTAAGATGGGCAGTAAAGCAGTCATTACTGTTGTCAGTTAGTTATGGTTTTCAGATAATCAGATTAGGAAGTGGCTAAAAATTAGTATAGATTTGTTCTTAGTTTTTTTAACTCTTGTTTAAAAATTGAGCATATTTGTCAAAGGTTAACATCCAAGATTGCCTGATGGGCTCATGAAACATCCCCTGAACTTAATGAAAACTTTATGGAAGCTTTGGTTTTGTACCTAAAAGAAAAATCTCTTTTAGAACCATAAACCTAGGAAATTAAATGCAAAACACCATGTTAATGCACAGTCTGGCTATGAAAGTAAAACAAAATTGAGCTAATGAAAATCTTAAGTGGATATTAACTCACCTACATGCCACATTTATGGTATTTTGATTATAAGTTAGCCTGTTGAAAATGCCTTTGTAAAGCCTGAGATAGGTAAGCTAATATTACTTGCAGAGCCTTTAATCTTGAATCATATAGCCCCAATTTTATTTTAAATTTTCATAATTGAAACTGATTCTTGTCTTTAACATGTAGCACCTGACTGTAATCTTTTATAATTGGTTTGACTGGGACAGATTCCAGAACTGAAGCAAGATATTTGTATACCAGATTACTGCTGTCTCGGTAATGGCGAAGAAGAAGACATAACTATTAATGCCTGGTTTGGTCCAGCAGGAACCATCTCTCCTCTTCACCAAGATCCACAGCAGAATTTTTTAGCCCAGGTTTGTGCTGTCATCACTATCATCATCAAATCAGCATTTTAAAGAATTTAAATATAATTTAAAAGAATCTTTATTTTCATGGGGTCAGTATAGTCTTAGTGGTTTTTTTTTTAAATCAGCCATGAAAAATATATGTATCTGTTTTTTGGGCCCATCCCATCCACAGAATTCTATGCTTTTAGCAGTTGGGTTATCCACTATAATACATTATCTATCCCTGGGCTCTCAGTTACATATAGGCCATATTCTATTCACTAAGCCATTTACTCCCCTATAACTTAAATACTTTGTAATTACATTAATTCTTGTAAGCGAACAGGCTGCATTTGGTCCATTTAGTAAATTACTGTTCCAGTTTCTTAAGTGGCCTAAAAAAATGTGCCCTCTTAGGTGACTAATGAGGGAATAATTTACTCACTCAGCAGTAACTGGCTTACTAATAAATCATCTGAGTTGGAAAGAGCACATGTCCTACTCTGTATTTTTTAAGTACAAAAATTCTCAAGAAAGAACACAGAAAATTGTCACCCTCATTAAGTGCATCTACCAGATTATATTTTACTAGACTGTAAATTTCTTGAAGGCAAAGACTATGCCAGTTATTTTTGTATTAAGTCTGCCCCTAGTGTACCATAGTGTACAAAATAGAGGCACTTAACAAATTTTTGCTGAAGTAATATAAGTTCTTAAAAAAACAAAACAGCAATCAGTCTGAGAAGCACAGTATCAAAAACTTAAACTACAGAGCACTTTTTAACTCAGACTATAAAATGGCACTAAAGGCACCTATATTTTTATTAGAAAATATTAGTTAAGGTAGCTGTCACTCTTTTATGGTAATAGTAGATAGAAGGACATGCTATGTTCAAATGCCATTTATTCTCATAGAATTATCTATATTAATTTAGTGCCTTGTACCATTGTGTTCATTAAATGGAGAAGATAAATTAGTCATGACGAAGTTGCATGATAAAACACATTTTACCAATTTGAGTGAATTCACTTTTTCTCTAATCCCATAATCCCATGGTCTTTATTTCAGATGTACAACGTAACAAGTTAAATTAGTGCCAGTGACATTTGAAATTTTTAAAAAGACAACTCATTGGTATTATATGTGCTTTTTTCATCTACTATGTCATGCCCATATTATTCATTAGATTTGAAGCTGATTATGACTGCCCACCATTTAATTTTAATTCTTGCTTAAGCGATTTCACTGGAACTTTTAAGAATAGACAATTGTATTCTTTGTTTCAGACATTGACCTTTCTGACTTTCACAAATGGAGCAAAGTCTGGAGAGAGGTTCTTTATCGTAATATGTTAATCATAGTACCAAATTAGCAAAAGTCAGACTAAATTCATTTTTATGTGTTCACCTTGATTATATGGGGTGTCCCCAAAGCTTAATAGCTTAACACTTCAGTGAGACTTCTGGGACACCCTATATTTCTACTGCTTGGTCACTATATAAATAGCATATTATTAATTACCTTAAAATTAAATTCTTTCTACAACTAAAATACCAACTGACAGATGAAGACTCTCTTTTCAGGTACTTGGAAGAAAATACATCCAGTTGTACTCTCCAGAAGAATCAGAGTCTTTATATCCACATGAAACACAACTCCTTCACAATACTAGCCAGGTGAAATATTTATGGTATAGTTGTAGATGCTGTCACTTTTCTTTCATTAATCATAATACAGCTAACTGGTTTCTTTTGTTTTTAGGTGGATGCGGAAAATCCCAATTTAATTAAATTCCCCAAATTTACTAAGGCCTCATATCAGTCATGTATTTTGAATCCTGGGCAGATTCTGTTTATTCCAGTTAAGTATTGGCACTATGTGCGAGCTTTGGATATCAGCTTCTCTGTCAGTTTCTGGTGGTCATAACTATTATTAAAAGAGGAATTAAAAACATCTGTAATGCAACAGCATAGTCTTTTCCTGAAGGCAGAGTAATAATGTAATCTAAGATCAATAAATTTGAACTTTTTAACAATATATAGACCTTCGTCCTGTCCTTGGGTATGGCAAATCTCAAACTGGTGCAAGAAAAGGCACTTTACTTGTTTTAAGTATCACAAATTGCTTGAAATTTATAAAAGTAGATTCCAGTGTCCCACAAAAACAATAATTAGTGGATATCAAAATTGTTTCTTTTTATATTTGACATGATAGACAGTATTTATCTAAATTTTCACATGACAAGATTCCTATTAAGTCACTAAAGGTACGCTGACCTAAGATATAACATAGGAATATTATCTCTTCATGCATCTCTAACATTAAGGAGGGATAAACTGAAATTCATTAAGGCAGAATGTAATTCAGAGGGAGCTTAGCTATATAACATGTGCTTTTTCCTCCTAACTCAGAGATAGGCTATCTAGCAACTGATCCTTCATGATCACTTCTGTACTAATTTGGTGATTCTGCTTTTGCTCTCAGGTAGAGTTGAAAGAAACATGTACTTTTGAAATGTCATAGGATTTTTTTAAAGTTCAAAACTACAGGAAAAAAAATCATTAAAATGTAATATTTAAAATATGGACACCTCCATGACCTTATATCCCTCAAGCAGGTGTTTCCATCAGCTCAGCAGAATACTGCAAATGAAATCTTCAAATCATCCTGTTAACTCTCCAATATTGTCAGAAATCCAAAATGTTGACTTTATGGCTCAATTTCCATGCATATTCTTAGGATGACAGCTTCAAAGGAGTTCTGTTGTACTGAACCAGTGAGATTTTGAATAAAAGTTATTAATGTGTTGTTCATCCATTAACCAACTCCACACAGCAAGTATTTAGATGTAATATTTAATGGATAAGTAAATTGACTGGTAGTCATCTGGAATGAATTTTTTTAAATATAAATTTATTTATTTTTAGTTTTCAACATTTACTTCCACAAGATTTTGATTTTGAGTTCAAAATTTTCACCCCATCTCACCCCTCCCCCCACCCCAAGATGGCATGCATTCTGAACACCCCTTCTCCTAGTCTGCCTTCTCTTCTATTTCTCCCCCCCTTCTCTTATTCCCATCCCCTTCTGTTTTCCTGTAGGGCAGGATAGACTTCTGTACCCCATTTCCTGTATTTCTTATTTCCCAGTTGCATGTGAAAACTTTTTTTATAAACATGTGTTTTTAAAACTTTGGGTTCTAGATTTTCTCTCTTCCTCCCTCCCCACCCACCCTCATTGAAAAGGCAAGCAACTCAATATAGGTTATACATGTACAGTTATGCAAAACACTTCTATAGTAGACATGTGAAAAACTATTTCCCTTAATCCTATCCTGCCCTCCCATTTATTCTATTCTTTCTTTTGACCCTGTCCTCCTCAGAAGTATTTGCTTCTGATTACCCCTTTCCCAATCTGCCCTCCTCTCTATCATCCCCCTGCTCTTTTGTCCCCTTCCCCCCCATTTTCCTATAGAGTAAGACAGATTTCCATACCCAATTGAATGTGTGTGTTATTCCCTCCTTAAGCCAAATCCTATGAGAATAAAATTCATTCATTCCCTCTCACCTTCCCCGTTTCCCCTCCACTGTAAGAGACTTTTCTTTTCTGTTTTTTGTGAGATAATTTACCCATTCTACCTCTCCCTTTCTTCTTCTCCTAGTATAATCTCTCTCATCCCTTAATTTTATTCTCCAGATATGACCCCTTCATCTTCAACTCACCCTGTGCCCTCTATCTATCTATCTATCTACTATACATACATATAATTTTTCCTCAACTACCCTAATACTGACAAAGTCTCATGAGTTATAAATATCATCTTTCCATGCAGGAATGAACAGTTCAACCTTAATAAGTCTCTTATGATTTCTCTTTCCTGTTTACCTCTTCATGTTCCACTTGAGTCTTGTGTTTGAAAGTCAAATTTTTTATTCAGCTCTAGTCTTTTCACCAAGAATGCTTGAAAGTCCTCTATTTCACTGAATGACCATTTTTTTCCCCCTGAAGGATTATACTCAGTTTTGCTGGGTAAGTGATTCTTGGTTGTAATCCTATGTCCTTTGCCCTCCGGAATATTATATTCCATGCCCTGCGGTCCTTTAATGTAGAAGCTACTAAATCTTGTGTTATCCTGATTGCGTTTCCACAATACTTGAATTGTTTCTTTCTGGCAGCTTGTAATATTTTCTCCTTGACCTGGGAACTCTGAAATTCGGCTACAGTATTCCTAGGAGTTTTCCTTTGGGGATCTCTATTTTGCCCTCTGGTTCTAAAATATCAGGGCAGTTTTCCTTGATAATTTCTTGAAAGATGATGTCTAAGCACTTTTTTTTATCATGGCTTTCAGATAGTCCAATAATTTTTAAATTCTCTCTCCTGGACCTATTTTCCAGGTCAGTTGTTTTTCCAGTGAGATATTTCACATTATTTTCTAATTTTTCATTCTTTTGGATTTGTTTTACAGTGTTTTGATTTCTCATAAAGTCACTAGCTTCCAATTGCTCTATTCTGATTTTTCAGGAAGTATTTTCTTCAGTAATCTTTTGGACTTCCTTTTCCCTTTGGCCAATTTTTCTTTTTAGGGCATTCTTCTCCTCATTGGATTTTTGGACCTCTTTTGCCATTTGGGTTAGGCTATTTTTTAAGGTGTTATTTTCTTCGGTATTTTTTTAGGTCTCCTTTAAGCCTTAATCTTGTTTTTCATGGTTTTCTTGCATCACTCTCATTTCTCTTCCCAGTTTTTCCTCTACTTCTCTTACTTGCTTCTCAAAATCCCTTTTGAGCTCTTCCAAGGCCTGGGACTGATTCATATGTTTCTTGGAGGCTTTGGATGTAGGAGCTTTGACTTTGTTGTCTTCTTCTGGTTGTATGTTTTGATCTTCTTTGTCACCAAAGTAAGATACTATAGTCTGACTCTTTTTGCGCTGCTTGCTCATGATCCCAGCCAATTACTTGAGTCTTAAACTCTTTGTTAAGGTAAGAGTCTGCTTCCAATGTGGAGAATGTACTGTCCCAAGCTTCGGGGGTTTATACAGCTGTTTTCAGAGATACTTGTAGGGACCTGAAAATTTTCAGTTCTTGCAAGGTGGTATGATAAGGGGCGAGGTGTTTACTCCTTTCCTGGCCTGTGCTCTGGTCTGTTAGTGACCACAAGCACTCCTTTTTGTCCTGGAACTGTGAAGAAGGTTTCCTCTTCACTGCCACTACAAGCTCCACCACGCCAATGCTCCTTCTCACCCCAGCATTGCTGCCCAGAACTGTGACCCAGATCCAAGCACGGGCAAGGCAAGAGATTCCTGCCTCAGCACTGGCAAACAGATCCCTGAAATCCCTCTCTGATCAGCCACTGGATTCCCCCTCAGTCTGTGGGCTGGAAGCTCAGCAGCCACTGCCCTGGTGCTCTGCACTCTGCGCTCTGGAGCTGGCTCTGACCTAGCTCCTCTCTCAGCACTGCAGAAACAGATTTTTCCCACTGACCTTCTAAGTTGTCTTGGGTGTTTGTCGGTTGAGAGGTCTGGAAGCCACCCCAGCTTCACTGCGGCCTGTGCGCCCACCGCTCCTCTCCCCGCCCAGCGTGAAATACCTTTCTGATTAACCATCCAGGTTGTCTTGAGCTGGAAATTTGCTTCACTCTGTCTTTTTGTGGGTTCTGCTGCTTTAGAATTTGTTTAGAGCCATTTTTTATAGGTATTTGGAGGGGTTTGGGGGGAGAGCTCAATCAAGTCACTGCTTTCACTCCGCCATCTTGGCTCCGCCCCCCTGGAATGAATTTATAACCTTTACACTAACAGCATCACACAGACTTTACTGAAAAATAAAAATTGGATGTCTCACTGCCCACTTCAGCCACCTGTACTTATTTGCCTCTGTCACAAGGCTTTCCATAGTCTGGCTCCAGCTTACCTCTCCAGCTGTAAATATCACATTTGTCTCCTTTATATACACTAGATTCCCGTCAAATTGGACCCATTTTTCTTTAATCACATTCTGCCCTCTCCCTCCCCTGTACAACTACACAGGCCTACCCTGATGTCTGGTTTGTACTGTGCCCTTTTACTTAATGAAATCCCAGTTTTGCTCCAAAGCTCATCTTAAATGCCATGTCATCTATGAAATCTGTTTTTTTTTCTCCCCAAATGAAAGTGTTCCCTCCTTTGCCTAATGAAATGTGGTAAAGCCTGCGTGTGTACTAAAACTATCTCTGGCCCTAAGAAAGAAGTATGTGGAAATTTCCAGACTTAGAAGCCCTCGGCCCAGCCTCAAACTCTGTTGTAGTCATTAGGGTCCCCGCACTCCTTACACAGATCCCTTATCTGGATAACTCCCTAACTCTGACCTGGGTTTCTGACTCTTTGTTGCCTGGTTCCATTGCTGGCTCCAGCCCTTGATTCCTTTTCCCTTGGTCATTTAGTTTGGTCTCTTTAGTTAACTCCTTGCTGCCTGTCCTCTGGATTGTGAACCTTACCTGCCAGTACAGTTCAACAAATGTTTATTAAATGTGCATAGGCACTGAGGGAGATCAAGATTATTGATTGGCCACAGTTCCAGCCTTTGTGGAACTTACTGTCTGGCACAGAGAGAGAACAGACAGAAAACTAAAAATAAGCAAAGATCTATGATGAGGGAGGGGCTCCTGAAGGAGCTAGTGCTGAGTTCTGCTTTCAATGATAGGTGTGAATATAATAGGTGGATGAGTAGGGAGGACATTCTAGACATAGGGAATACAGTGTGAGCAGAAATATGGTAGAAAGAAAAAAATAAATATTCAGTAGCCACTATGTGCCAGATGCTGTACTAAGCACTGGGGATATAAAAACAGGCAGAAGATAGTCCCTGCCCTCAAGGAGCTCACAGGCTAATGGGGGAGACAACATGCAAACAAATATATACTAAGCAAGCTATATACAGGATAAATAGGAAATAATGAACAGAAGGAAGGCACTGTATTTGAGAGGGATTGGGGAAGACTTCCTGTAGATGGCAGGATTTTAGTTGGGACTTAAAGGAAGGCAGGGAGGCCAACACAGCAGAGAAGG